TTAGGAAAATTTCGCAATGATTTTGACCATTCCAAATTACCTTGTGTGAAGAAACAAGAGCAACATCCATCATGATCCTTACCACATTGGCACAATCGCGACGCCATTTTTTGACGCTTTATGATGTAAACACCCAATTCAAACCACGTGACGTGTTAGCCGATTGTGTCTATTATAAACCTAAATCTTAAGTAACCCAACTGTCATCAAACCCTTAGCTTAATTAAGAAATAAAGTGTCACCTGATATTACATTACACGATTGTCGCGACAAAAGCTTAAAAAGAAAGTATAAAGCAAGATTTGTGACGTTCATCTATTTCTCAAAATGTAGACATTTCCTCGATAGGCCCTACGACCCACCATCAATACAAAACAACAGCGAGAACTATAGTCACGTTTATAATTATCTTCTCTAGAACTTTATGAAAATGATCCACGAGGCATAAAATGATTTTTTCAGCTTTATTGATAAAATCCAAAATAAGCATTGTTAAAAGAGCTAAACATAAGGTCAACTTCTCAAGCAAGTAAGGGAAGGATAATGCAAACCCCCCTCCGACACATACACACACACGCACACACACATATATATATAAATTCAAGAGCTGTTGTTCGAGGGTTTGTTCGAGTCACAGTGACTCTTACGCTGATGTGCCTCGAAGATGATGACTGCACATTTAACTATTATCTGTTTTATGCAATCGTAGCATGATCATGATGGAACATTTAATTCCTTAAAAGGAGCGTTGAAGTTTTGCCTCAGAATTGTGCTTCCTCATGACTTTTTTCTAGGAGCTCATTTCAATGCACTACGATTTTACTGTGATTTTGATGTTTGAGCGAGCAAAGTGATACAAATGGTAATGTGTGAGCAGTCGACCCCATCGACTGGTGAAGACTAACAGTAAGCAGTCGAAAGGTCGCGATCTACATTTTAAGTGATTACATCGTGTGACAAATGATTAAACAGTTTATTATTTCTTACCACTACGATGAACGATAACCTATTTTACGATATTAAACTCATATCATTCCTTTCTAAGAAATTCCAAGGTAATTCATCATTTGACCCGATCACTTCTTTCCCTTGATGGCCTTGCTTCATTTGTTTTTCTTACCTTCTCTCTCTCTCTCTCTCTCTCTCTCTCTCTCTCTCTCTCTCTCTCTCTCTCTCTCTCTCTCTCTCTCTCTCTCTCTCTGCAGATTAAAAATAGGGCATTTTTGGTAACTTCAAGTCTCTTTCGGATATCTTGCGTAAATAACATGATTACATCGTCCTGAGTAGTTCAAACGCTTTTATGCAGAATCTACAACACTCTGTTAGAATCTTGCGGTCAACCGTATCAAAAACAATTTTTTACAAATTTTTAAACATTTCAAAGGTTACGAAACTTCCCTACTCCGTGGAAAGTACTTTTTAATTGCATTTCAACTCAAATTTTCAATGATAAGATAGATATCCGACTCATTTAGCATATTTTGGGCATTCACTCACTTTCCACAGCTAAATATTTTGGGAGCAATTCACAGCCCAAAAAAATTTAGTAAGATTGTATGTTTTGTCATAGACAAGAGCTCCCTTCGAAACCTTTCAACATTTTAAAACTTAACTTTGCTGCTCTAAAGTCAAATTCTCACCTAACTTGTAACGATTGAGGTTTAAAACGGTTTATATGAAAACAACATTAATTTTCCTAATTGTGGCACACAAAAAAAATTAAAGAAAAATTTTTTTCGGGGAAATTTTGGAAGTTTGAAGGGAAGAGACTTTACCGGGTGACATAAGTGCCCTATTGTACTAATTTTGAATGATAACAAATTCATGATTACTTAAAGCCCCTGAATAAACGTTATGTGTCTGAGTTATTTATTGAAAAAAAAGCTTTTATTCCACAGCACTTGCGTTACCAAATGTTTTTTCCGTTGGCGAGAAGGAGTGATGGATATTTGCAACGAGAATTAGGGCACTTTTGTAACGATCAACGTATGCCACATAAACTGTTGATAACTCTGCTGGTGGCTTTCCAACGAATAAAACAATTCATGTTATTTGTGTTTCTATAAAAAAAACCCGTTTAACTCATGTGAATCATTGTTCTTTTATTTGATGACAGCCTTCATAGGGGTATGCCCAAGTGGGGTGGGTGGGGGTGGTTGACATGACGGTCAGTCTATCAGTTGTACTAAAATGCGTAATAAGAGGTTACGCTTGATTCACAACCGCTATTTTCCGATCGGACTGAAAAGCAGCACAAATTGAGTTCGATACTCTGTGAAAAGCCAATGGATTGGTACAAGACGGCAGTTTCCTCAAAAGTATGCTGATTAATGTTGTCTGGTATTTATCTGCTGTCGAAATGTCATTCAGCTGCCTATATATATTTATAACGTATTTGCATGGTATTGTCAACAATACTACAACCGGCCTACTGGCCGGCTTTTGGTCAGTGCTCCATTCCCGGGGAAGAATTCCATGTGAACTCTATGAAAGCGGTGGAGCCTAGAAACTCGTGGATAAGTATCAGAATAAAATTCCTAAAACAGCCCAATCTGGGCAGTTTCACCCCTTAAATAAGTCATTATAGTAGGAAGGAGCAAAAAGAAAAGCAAGCGCGAAAAATATAGAATGAGGCCGGAGGGGTAGAAACTGGAACAGAAACTGGAATCATGTTTAGGTTAATAGGTAGTCCAGAAACAAAAAGAATTGTTGAAAAAACCCTTCAATTGGCATAGTATGTTTTAATGAATAGTTTTTTTAGGTGCTTAAGGTTAAGGTTGACGTTTTCAAGTTAAATTTTGTCAGTGTCGCTTTTCGTTTTCTTGTTATGGCTAAGTAGTCCAGGAATGGGATCAATTGTTCAAGAGCCTTTTAGCTGGTTAAGGTTAACATTTGCAGTTTAAATGTTCAAAAAGTCTCTTTTCATTTTCTTGTGAAGGTTACTTAGTCAAGGAACGGAAGGATTTGTTCAAGAGCCTTTCAAAGAACAGAAGATATTTTAAAGAATGATTTTTCGTCAGTGTTGTAAACACGGACGTAATGTTACCTACATTAAAACAAAAATAAAGGATATTACAGTGCACAGCAGAGGTGAGCCCATGTTGACGAAGTAAGCTTATGAGAATCAGTTCACCGAAGAAGAATAAAGGTATCCTCTGTCCGTGTTAAAGGTGTCCATAGTACGCGGGTTAAATGTAAAGACAATATGAGGACATTTCCCCGGGACAACAAAACCTGTCCCTTATAACGAGGGGGCGTCCGTGAAGAGGGGTGCGATGGTACAACTGTGATATTTTTTTCGGAACCCGTCTAATTATAGGACAAAAATGCGTACAATTAAATAAGAATTTAAACTGGTTCCATAACCGGCTTGGGATCGGTCTGGAAATTGTCTTTGCCATAGATAAAACGCTGGCGACCATTGAGCTTCCGGCGCTCCTTCGTTTGAATGAGACTCGGATTAAAAAGTCGCATTTTTCTGTGACATATCACAAAACAAGAATTGAGTCAGAACTGTTTTGTGGTTGCATCCCACTGCTAACATTAATAGAGAGGTATCCCTGATGTCACCTATTGATGTTAACGTGCTAACCAGATGCTTGTTAGCTCTTGAAACGAGGTTCTTTTGCTTCCGTGGCTGGTACATTAAAATAACAAAAGGCTTGCTTGTAAACAGATATCTTTCCTATATTCTGCAGCAATTTTTACTTAAATTAGTTGAAAATGGAATGTCTTTGTCCAGCTGTAAAATTTCAAACGGCAATCTACTATTTTGAAAACCAAAACAACCTGTGTAACGTCGAAAAATTTAGATTTCGTCTGATAATAAGCACGTTACAGAAGTGCCATATTTCACGTTACTAAATTGCCCTTAAGTTACCGAAGTGCCCTACACCACGTTACCAAACGGCCCGAAAGTTACTAAAGTGCCCTACACCACGTTACCAAAAGGCCCGAAAGTTACTAAAGTGCCCTACACCACGTTACGAAAGTGCCCTGAAGGTACCAAAGTGCCCTATTTTAGGTTACCAAAGTGCCCATCAATCTCTCTCTCTCTCTCTCTCTCTCTCTCTCTCTCTCTCTCTCTCTCTCTCTCTCTCTCTCTCTCTCTCTCCTTAAAGTTAATGAAATCCACTGGTTTCCAGACTAACAACTTGAGACACTGAACACACTAATCTCTGAGTGCCTTGAGAGACACGCCCCTTTGTGGAAGGTCCGTAACACACGACCACCCGCCTCATGAATGAAGGATCCTCCGATAGAGGAACTCCAGAAGAAACGGGATGCTATTAGATTCATTGCTTACCAGACTAGAACTGATGCCGCATGGGATGTGTTTCGTACGGTGAGAAATATATTTAAGTCGGCAATAAGAACTTCCCGTAAATCATTCATCGAAAAAGCATTGTATTCAACAAGTCCCGCGAAGTTTGGAAAGTCTTTCATATAGTACTCAAGCCTAGTTTCAGGCCTCTGCGCTTTGACCACTATGCTCTTAACGACTTCTTCGTGACAATAAGTGAAGCTCCTGAAAAACAGGTGTGATATGCTGAAACTTGCTCATTTGACACACAACTCTGGCCGCCGTGTTTTGTACATGTTGCAATCTTTGTAACTAATACTTAGGCAAGCCATCTAACAATGCATTACAATAGTCTAGTTTCGATGTAACTAATGCGTGAACAGCAACTGCTGCTGATTCCTTAGTGAGATACTTCCTAATTCTAGATAGGTTCCTGTGATGATTAAATGATGATCTACAGATGCTAGACACATGTGCATGAAAAGACATGTGCTCATCAAAGATGACGCCAAGACTCCTAGCCGACTGAGAGGCAGCCATGCTCTCATCACCAACACGTAAGGCCTGAAAGCATGGATACTTTGAGTGGATGAGCATGACCTCCGTCTTGTCGTGGTTTAGCTTCAATTCGTTGAGATCCATCCAGTCACAAATAGCAGAAATGCAGCTCTCCACCCTCGATTTAGTAGCGTCCACATCATCCGAATACAAAGTATAACTGAGTATCATCAGCGTATAGATGATAATCCAAGTCATAAGATCTTATCACTTTAGCAAGTGGCGCAGTATACAGAAGGTAGAGCACAGGTCCCAGAACTGAACATTGGGAAACTCCCACGGGAAGATCACGTATAATAGAATTCACCTCATTGATGTTAACAAACTGAGTTCTATCAGGAAGATAGGGGTTGAACCATCGCAGAACAGTTCCTCTGATGCCAAATGATTTCTGCAGTCGTGCCAGCAACAAGGTATGGCTAACAATATCGAATGCTGCCGACAAATCTAAAAAAGCAAGGAAAACATTCTCGCCTTTGTCTAATGATAGCATAATGTCAATTGTGTCGATGAGAATCGCAGTCTCTGTACTCTGACAGATACTGCACGCTGATTGGAGAGACTCATGTAGATCATTTTCGCCAAGATAGTTATTCGATTGCACAAATACTGCTTTTTCTATTAATTTAGATAGAAACTTTAAATTTGACATAGGGTGAAAGTTACTAAACTGCTCAAAATCTGCATTTACCTTCTTGAGAAGAGGTAATAGCAGCGCGATCTTAAGTTCCTTGGGCAGCACTCCAGATGATAACAACAGATTAATCGCTCTTCTAAATACAGAAAAAAGACTAAAATAGCATTTCCGCATGATACTCGCTGGAAATGGATCTAGTGCGCATGCCTTGATTGAACCCCTAATCAGTCCTAAGACATTTTCATCTGTTACCGTTGCGAACTCACTAAAGCATGATGTACACTCAAAATCCCCCATAGTGAGCTCCCCCAGCTGTTCTCTCCTAACCAGCAATTCATCACGAATGCTCATAATCTTGGGACTAAAGAAATTAGCAAAGGCATTCGCGAGTTCTAGGTCACTGTTCGCAGACAGATATCTTTTGTCTGTATTCCTTTGTTGTAATTTATCAACTGTGCGAAAAAGTAACTTGCTATCGTGGGTATTGTCCTGAATAACTGTTGAATAATGCTGTTCTTTCGCCTTATAAAGCATTTCATTTACAACATCGCGCTGCTCCAAATAATTCACCCCATCAATTTAGAGGCCAGTCGAACGTCACTCACGTTCGAGCCTTCGCCTCTTCCTCTTCTGAGTGGCAATCTCCTCATTATACCAAGGGGCATTTGGTCGAATGACAATAGTGCGAGTTCTTTTAGGTGCCAGCTTGTCCAAAGCTTTGCACAACACCTCATCATACTCCTTAGCCAACGACTCAATACATTGCGAGACACATCCATCCGACAAACCAGTCGGTATAATCATCTCATTGAAAGCGTCAAAATCAAATCTCTTTAATTTACGAGAGACAACAGTCTCTCCTAAATAGAGAACACTAGAAACTCTGGCGACTTCAATAGAAGATCTCGTGCGCTTCATTGATGACCTGCCTTACGACTCCCATGATGGAACACGTTTTCAGCTGCCAACTGTCTCTAGAGAAAGCGTCCTCCAGACCATCAAGGATTTTCGATCGGATTGTTCCACTGGCGTGGACCAGTTACCCACTCGTTTCATCAGGATAAGTGCTGAGTACTTGACAGTCCCACTTAAATCTATCATCAGCAATTGCATTGAGAAAGCGCATTTCCCAAAACTATGGAAGGTTGCTCAGGTGTCTCCAGTCTCAAATAAAGACCGACAACCCAGTCTCAAATGATCAACCTCGGCCCATCTCAGTTCTACCTGTTCTCTCGAAAGTCTTCGAGAAGCCTGCGGTGTCTCAAATGGCGGATTACGCAGACAGCGCTCATCTTCCTCACAATCGAATCTCGAATTTCCGCAAAGGACATTCCACCACTACAGCTCTGCTGGGAATCAGAGATAACATACGCTATGCCATTAAGAGGAAGGAGACTACACTTATGTTAGCCAATTTCTCTAAGACATTGGACACCATCTACTTTGGCTCGACCATCGAGAAGTTTTATAAGCTTGGCTTCTCAAAACCCTTTCTCAAGTAACTCCTGAGTTACCAATCTGGTCAATCACAGTTTGTACAGATCGATGATAAGAGGCCTTCATGCCAGTCATCCCAGTTTAACATTCCACAAGGGTCCATCCTGGGGCCAGTGATATTCAACTTATATATTTCAGATCTACAAGAAGGGCTATGGACATGAACGAGACTTTCGTGGATATCACAAACTGGTCCCAGGACTCCAACTTGGCACTGAACCCTACAAATACAAAGTGCATGCTGTTCCCAACCCCTTAGATGTCGTCCTACCATTCCCTCGCTGAATTTCCTATAAATCTGTCTATAGGAGATAAACTCCTTGCACGTGTCCATTCTACTAAAATGTAATTAATGTACGGGGCTCACACAACTGACAACTTGAAGTGGGACAATCATGTTAATCATCTTGCTTCATCTTGTTACGGTGTTTTAGCTGCGTTAAGGAAAATCAAGAAATTAACTAACCACCATCTTAAAAAGTTTAGTTGTGTTATTATGAAAGTTTACTTATGTCCTGCCTTGACTTGATGACATGATATCTTATCCAATTACTGACTGTCTTTTAAAAAGGCTACAGCGCATTCAGTTTGTGGAAGCCAGTTTTGTCTGCGGAAACTATGTTAACAGTATTGACACTATTCTCAGATTAGGCTTGTTGCCTATCAAGGAACGTAAGCAATAGTACGTTTTAAAGGCCACGCGCAAAGCTATATACTACCACAATTGGCCCAGAAACCTCCAGCTTGAGCAACTTAGACATACCAGGAACCTGCGCTCATCCAGTTCCATCAATTTAGTCATACCGTCGGCCTCTGAAACTTTCTAGGATAGCGTGCCAGCCCTTCTCAATTCTTTACCAGCAAATGTTAAATCTTGTAGTAATTTTAAGTCTTTTAGAAGGCAAACGTTAGCTATTCTTAGGGAGCGCTGCCGGACAGGCGCGCAATAATCATTTAGACTCAGTCTTTAATTTATAGAAATACATGCTATATTCCTCTGTTTAACAAATGGAGAAGCCTTGGCTGTGCTCTATTCTGTTATAAAGCACGCAGGAAGCGGCTAGAGCACGAAAGAAGTGTAGGGAGAAACACGAAAGGTAGTCGAGTGTTTCTCCCCACTTCTTGAGTGCTCTAGCCGCTTCCTAAGTGCTTTATAGCAGAACAGAGCACAGCCAAGGTTTCTCTATTCGTTTTATAATAAAGAATCCATTAAATTCCCCGAGCATTACTTTCAATTTTCAAAAAAAACTTTATTTCCAAAGCGAACAACAGTGTCGTCAGCATGCTCTATACTCTCATAAAGCACTCTACAATAAGCCAATCAGAATCCCTGTTAGAATGGTTCAAATAATCTGATTGGCTGTACAAGACTAAAGCTGTCAAAAGTGTCAAACCATCAAAGTTAAAAAACCATCAAAGTTCACCTTCTGCGATAGTTTACAAACTAAAATAGTTCGGTAGGTCGAATTTAACACTTTTGCCTGAAGTTTTTAAGTCTCTAATACAGAATCTTAAAGTGAAATGTTCAGTGAACTTCAGCCGAATTATGGCTCGTAAAAACACGCGAGTTTTTTCACGTGACAAGGTAGAAAACAAACTGTTCAGGGCGAGTGTTTTTTGAATGAACGACAGCCGAATTCACCGGAACATGAAGATTGCTCGGGATGACAGCGCCGCAAAACTCGGCTGCAGTGACAGATGTGACTTTCCACTCAACGCATCGGAAAGGATATCAGAGCAAGCTCTTATTTTTTCACTCGAAGGGCGACCGATGTAGTTTCTGAGGCTTGCTGTGATGACCGGAGATCGCCATGATGAGCGAGCCGCGATGGACTTCAGCATGATCATATTCGCTCAGACACCGTCATGATTAGAATGAATTTTAACAGTTATGCCAGTTTGGTTATATTTTTCATCATTTCTGTTTTGTTCTGTTTTGTTTTTGAGCACTGAACTTTATATACTATATGAGTGTTAGCTGTGTTTGATTTTTATTTCCGTACGTAAGCTTGCAATCTAACTGAGCGTGAATCAATCTTTAAAACCTCGAACGTCTATTTTGTTTTTCCTTTGAGGATTTTCGTATCTACTCACGTTTTAATAACGTAAATTACGGCGCCTGGTATGTTTACAAACCTTTATTTGGTTCTTCTGTTGCTACTTGCCGGCTCGCTTGTTCCGAAATTTCACTTTCAATTATCGGAAAAAAGCTAAAAGGAAGTCCCGGAAAAGGTCGAACATAGTACAGTTTGGCAGATGGCGTGACAGCTTTAGCTCAGCTCTATGCTCTATACTCTCATAGAGCACGCTCTTTCAACCAATGACACCGCGCGTTATATCCGAACTTTATTATAAATAGAATTATATAATTTTATTTTACCTTTAGTTTTTATATCAGGCAAAGAGCCATTTTGTATGGGGATACTGGTATTAAACCATTGTCTTTATTATCATTACGATATTAATTAAATGCAAGTGTATCTTAGAACACGAAACTTTCCTTTGCGTTTTATCTATTCTTCTCTCCTTTTTCTTTTCTCAGTCGAGAATTGTGCTGAGCTTAACAAATGCGGTCAAACCATCAGTGGTATTTATGCAGTCGACCTTAATGGTGTAGGTGCCTTTAATATCTATATTGTGACCAGGCAACTATCCGTAGATGATAGACAGTGATCAAGAAGAGGGTGTATGGCACTTTTCACTTCAATCGCACCTGAGAAGACTATAAAAGGGATTCAGTGATTTCCTCATCTATGTATTTGGCTCGGACTGGACAAGATCGAACGCCTGACACAAAACAAGACAGAAAGCAAACTACTAGTGATTCTGGGAGTGAGGGCTAGCAAAATTGTTCACGCTGCGTATGAATGGTTTGGTATTGAAAATATGAAAGCTGATAACAAGCTACGCATCAGCAGTATTTTCAAGCATTCGTATATGGTTATGCATATCACACTCATGAACCCTGCCGATTTATCGACAAGTTCCTTGTGACTTGGTGGCAGAGAATCAATCAGGTGACACGAAGGCCTGGAATGTATAGAAAACTAAGCAACAGATTTGATTCTGTAACTTTGATACTCTAGAATTGAAAAAGGGTTTTCTCAAACATCGCCTCCATAGGTAACAGTATTTCGTAATTATATAAACATAAAGAAGCCAAAAATAGGCCAGAGAAAGGCTCTTAACAATTACAGATCGTTGTCAACTATGAAGCTAAAATATATTTAAGTTTACGTTTTTATTCCTCTCTTCTATTGTGCAGCTGCAACTGTTGAGATTCTCTCTCCATTCAAAATGGCAAGTTATTTAGTACATGGGATAGATTTCCAGCTGATGGTGGTAACTATACGTTGATGAAGTTTGTACTGTTGACTCAAATTTTAACAGCATCTATCCTCATCCTGTAAGTATTTACACAATTCACTGGGCAAACTTGACCTCCTAAAGCTAATGACAACATCTGAAAATCAGACCATGGGACGTTTTCTAAACCCTTACCCCTAGGGCAACAGTAATTTCTAGCTTTTTTTTCCAGGAAGATTTTTTGTGTCATGAAACAATTGTTTGTATGAAATAATCTACCAGATTCTCATACAAAAGGCTCTGTAATATTCACGGGGGGTTTGATAAAGCTATTTATGATATATCAGGCAACTTGATTGATTTGATGAGTCTTTTGATGGATATAAAACACAAAATTTTGTAACATCATATGGATTCTTTCTAATTTCGATCAATCACGCGAACAAGTTCATTGATTTTCAAGGCGAGGCGATCAAACACTGTCCTGAATAGAGAATAAATCGTAGATAAAGTGATCTTAGATTAGATCTCTTATCTAAATAATTATTCATCTTTGAAATTCATCGAAGGGAACTAAGAAACCAGCTTATCCAATCTAAAAATGACCTTTAAGCATCGATTTATCGCTAGATCCTGCACGTTTTTCAATTTCTCGCCTAGTGACTTACTATACTTCAGGAGGTAATGAAATAACTTAAAGAGACAATGTTACACCCTGTGATCAGCCAGCCGAATGACTATAATGTGTTTCAGGCACAGTCTTGCCCATGTAAGATCTTTGGTTCCAGCTGGTGGATATGTCAGTGTAAACAACTCAATCTTTTACAAAATAAGTAGACCAATATTTCCGTAAGGAAATGAAGTTGTACAAAGATTCCAACACTTCTCTCCCTTTTTCAGCAACATCAACTAAGCATACTTCTGAAAGATAAGTAATGTAACTCCTTTCGCATTGGTAATATTTATGAATGCTGTTTTGTTTGAGTTATAAATAAAATTTAATATATTTTAACAGCCTTTTTTGTTTGTTTATTTGAAATTTATACAGCAAATAATTTACCATCTCTCACTGAAGTTTCAATTTCATTTTAATTTTACGAAAAGACTTAAAAGTC